ATGTACCTATTGTATTCGACATCCAACCAATATTCATTGAGAGCCTACTTTTGCTCTAGGCACCTACCATTTCTGTAACTGCTTAGTAAAGACTGATATTTGAATATTTATCAAATTTACATACACTCTATATAAGTAGGAAGGAACATGCATGTACATCTTATATTGTTCTATCCAAAAATCAAGATTGGCGATTGGGACATTCAGGCTCTGTTCTTGGATCTACCCCTTATTTTGCTGTGTTGAGAAGTTCTTTTATGTCTGTGGAACTCAGCCTCTTCATTTGTGAAAAATGTAGTGTTGAGTAGAATAGATGATATTTGCATCCCCTCAGCTTTGACATTCTAAGATTGTAATGCCCATATGGTACTTTTATAGCTTAAAAATTACCCAAGAATCTTACAAAGGTAACTGTGCTCATAATGTATTTTGGCTACCCCTGTAAATACTCATAATCATTCACTTTTCTATCTTGAAATAGTGGAACATATATTTTTGACAGGAATTTATTAGAATTTGTCATTATTTATAATTTTTTTGTCTTTTTGAAACAGGGTCTTGCTATGCAGTTCAGGCTGACTTTGAGCTCACTTTGTAGCCCAGGCTGGTCTCAAACTCACAACGATCCTCCTGCCTCAGCCTCCCAAGTGCTGGGATTACAGGCATGCACCATCATGCCTGGCTGTAATTTATAATTTTTAAATTTATCTGTACATGCATTAAAAATTTGTAGGGACATTAAATATTTAACATTTACAACACACTTTCCTTAAAGTATTTCTAAGTGAATAAAATGCCACAAAGTACAAATATCAGTGCAAAGATTTAATGATAGGATCTGAAGAAGCTAACATACCCACAGAATAAATATTAAGAATAGACATTATGATGCTGGCCTATGTTCTTTAGGACAATCTAGCTCCATGTCATAGGACTGTGACATATTACAATGGGAAATCTTTAGTCTAACTCTTCATATAGAACCAAGCTACCTGCCTATGAGCTGGAAGATCCTGAATTTATTTGAAGCATGCTATAAACAGCCCACAAATTCATTTTATCAAGTCATGTCTACTTCTACTTTCTTTGTACCCCTCTTCTGTTTTCTCCTGTCTTTACCCTGTAATATTCTTCAGGCAGTTTCACTTGATATAACAGTAGGTCAAGCAATAAACTTTTAATAAAATTTATCTTGAGGCAGAATCTCACCAAGTTGCCCAGGCTGATGAACTTGTGATTCCCTTACACCAGCCTCTTGAGTAGCTGGAATTACAGGTGCACGCCACCACATCAGGCATAAATTTATTTTAAAATGTATCCCGTCTTGATGAATTTCAATAAAATTTTAAAGAAGTTAAATAATTTCATTGGCTATCTCTAATGCAAAATATTCAGATGAATGTTATTTTACTGTTGTCATTATGGATCTATAAATAGTAGCTCTTTAGTATTCTCAAATTAGTGATATAATAGAAAAAGAATAATTTTCAAGTCTTATTTCAAATACCAATTTAATCAGTTACCACTTTAATTTACTTGTTAAATCATTTATCTGAGTCTCAGTTTATTTCTCACAGGCTTCTGATAACTTAAATTGCCATGACTGTAGGAATAATACATGAATATAGAAAACTAGTCGCACCAGACATTTAATGAACATTAATTGTCACATCAGGATAATTATTATGAGTGATCAGATAAAGTAAAATACCAATAGAAAATCCTCTTCAAGGTTTTTCATGTAAGGCAAAAATTAAGAAATTAGGTCTCTTTTTTTACTTCCTTACTATGTGAGACGTGTGTGTGTTTTATTGCCACTAAAAACATTTAGCAATACAATGAACATTCAAGTATTGGTAAACCGGAGGGATGAATCACGGTTCATATAATACGGCAGTTCATCGCTGTGTGTAGAAAGTAGCGCGTAGATTCCTAAGATGCCTACACTAGAGCTCGTAAGTAGCTATTTTTTGATTGCTATCTTCCAATTAATTACCATACACGTAGCGACGTCACCTTTTATTGAGTAATGTTGGCCCTTGTTAATATTAAGTTTGAAGATTAGGAAAATAAAGCCATTTTATTTTTACAAGAGAGGAAAGAGCAAGCAGTTCTCCCGCGGAGGTGCTGCAAGGGGACGCAGAGGGGTTTGAGACCTCGGACGGTGCTTCTGGGCAGCGGTCCGCATCCCGCGTCCTGCGGAGCTGAGCCTCTAGGGGGCGGCAGAGCACCGCGCTCGGGCCTGCTTCTCCCCAAGGATGTTGCAGGTCAGACACCGGAAACAGTACCTGTGCGTGGATCAGTCAGCATTGCAGCACCAACTAACTGAAGTTAATTCGTTATGCTCTTAGCATACATGTCCAACTCACATTGTAAGCCGTGTTTTAAAGGCAGACTCTTTGATAGAAAGACCTTGAAGAGAACAGCCCGAGAGCTCACATGGTCTTGCTTTGAATCCCAGCTCCTCTCCCTACTGTGTATCGGGGGACCAGGGCACAGGCTCTCTGAGATGGGGTTTGCAGCCTGGAGAAAATAGCGTTTGCTCACCGGTTAAGGATTACAGATGAGCTGATCTAAACCGTTTGGGACGGAGCCCGATATGTGGTGAGACCCCGTACATGGCCCACTGGCCTGATGAGGCCCTGATACAAGCTGCGTTGGTCTCTCCAAGCTCAGCTCTCTACACAAAGGAGTGTGAGAGCTCGCTGGCATCTGAAGGAGTAGCTTGACGTCCTAGTAGGCTTTTAAAAAAATTTATTTATTTGAAAGAGAATAATAAAAAAGAATAGCAAAATACCAACAACATAGACAAAAACAAAACAAAAACAATAAAAATGATACAGAGTTTCAAAACAAGATGATAGATTGTTATACTATATATTGTTATCTTCAGTGAAGTTGCTCAGATTACAAGATGTAAGAATGCAAGATTGATCAAACCATTAAAGAGAATAAAAAATAAAAACAAAAAAAACATTAGAAGCAATACAGAGTTTCACTAGACAAGACGGTAGGAATTCACCAATGGTAATATATTGCATATTTGTTGTCTTCAAATTAGTTGTTCAGATTACCAGATATAGGCATGCAAAATTGGTCAAAAAGAAAAAAATTAGGCATTACCTGCTCCTTTCAATAAACCATTAGACATCAGCAGTACAGTTATTCCACCTATCCTTCTATATATACATATACATGTATCCTTCTATATATACATATGTATATGCACATATATACATAATACATATATATATATATTCTCCTTCTTTCTTTTTCTCCTTTCTCTCATCCCAGTTATTCCTTCCTTTGTGCAATTTCTTTCTCTTTCATAATATCCATTGTATGTCTAGGGTTTTATTTACTGTTTCAGGTTCTTACGCTGAAATCAACTAATAACAAATGCGGGCAAGGCTGTGGGGGAAAAGGAACCCTTCTCCACTGCTGTTGGGAGTGTAGACTGGTACAACCACTGTGGAAATCAGTATGGAGATGCCTCACAAAACTAGGATTAGAAATTCTACTTAACCTAGTTATTCCCTTTCTGGATATTTTCCCAGAAGAACTAAAAACATCATACCACAGTGATTTATGTGCACCCATGTTTATAGCAGCATAATTTGTCATAGCTAAATCTTGGAAACAACCCAAATGCCCATCAACTGAGGAATGGATTAAAAAAGATATGGTAGTTTTATACAATGGAGTATTACTCAGCTATAAAAAAGATAAATTTGAGGCTTTTATAGGTAAATGGATGCAACTAGGGACCATACTCATAAGTGAAATAAATCAGACCCACATGTGTAAACATTGTATTGTCTCCATAGTAGGTTTTTATAGCTTGCTGTTTAAATGAAAGAATGCCCCATTTCCATTGACAGAATGTAGAAGGGCAGTGAGGGGAGGCCCTAGGTTCAGACAGGTGGAAGGTGGGACACAATCAACCACACCACTCTGACAGAGGCTCAGCAGGGGACTGTGGGCCTCTCTCAAAAGTCGGCATAAACAATTCTTCAGCAGCTGAGTCTCAGAGAGGAAAGGGAAGAGGAGGGGTGTATTTCCTGGTGGATTAAACAGAGCTTTATGCTATCAGATTCTGGCTAAAGTTAGTCCCCTGCACAAGCACTTAGCAAACAGTTGCGGAGAAGTCAGAGAAGGCAGTGTTTTGAGTCATTTTTTGAAACAGGTGGAAAGAAAATGTGTTACAGTAACTGAGAAGGCAAACCCCTTGGGAACAATATGACATGTTAAGCCAGTACCCTTGCAGCAAGGAGCTTGAGGTGGATCTTTTTAAAAATCTCACTTTCCTCTTTTCTGATATTTTGACCTAAGTTTTTCATTCTCATTGAATGTTCACCCATTCTCTGGGAAGTGTACAGAAGGAGATGTGAGAAGATGGAGTAGATCTTTAAATACTTTTCCTAGGAACTCCAGTTTTACTTGAAAATAAAGAGAAAGAAATTGTGCTTCTTTTTTTCTTCTTATTTTGTTCTTTTGCAGAAACAGCAGCAGATCTAAATGTCAATAATTAAAATAAATCCTGTTGTCTGTGCCCCAGAGAGTGAGCAAATGGGGCACCTAGTTTTCTTCTTTGCCCGGGGTCCTTGTGACAGAGCCGTAAGGGACTTCCCTGGGTCACCAGCATCTGCTGAAGGCCTCACAGATTCTGCAGCCCCTGGTAGCTGTACTCAGGGGCAAATCCTGCCCCACTCTGCCCTGGCCCCAATTCTGCCTTCCTCTGCATACCTCCTCCATGTAGACAGAGTCTGAGGTCCTGTAGGCCTGAAGTTGGCCCCTTCTCTGAGAGGAGGCGGCTCTGATTCCTGACAAGGCCAATAAAACCTTCTAGTGCACGTTGGCAAGTTATGTACAAAAGAAACAATCCCTGTGTCCTTAGGTTTTGAGGGCTCTGGAGACACTGCATTGCTGTCAAGAGATACTACTCTAAATAGTGACTTAAACTAATTCACTGAACTTACTTTGTGGCTATTCCATGCCAGGCACTGTACTGAACCCTATGAAACGTAATAGAAGACCTGACCTCTGCTCTCGGACACTGATGGAGAGAAATGGACAAAGACAAAAAGGCTGTTACACTGACTTCCTGTGGTATGTGGTTGACCTATGGTTTTTCTGCAGACACTGTCTTTGAGAGCTGTGGTAATTGGCGATGAATTAATTGTACAGGTGGTATGCTGAGATGAGCGAAGAAAACTTTACATGTTATGCTAAGATTATTTCAGTATATACACCACAGAACAACCTTCCCAGCAAAATAAGTAGGGATCTGGGCTCTGTATTCTATAATCTACTTTATTAGTGAATTATCTTTCAGGAAATGGGGTAATTTCTAATATCTATGATAACTCAGAATGAGTACTTTTCTCAGTTGCTATCTTTTAAAAAAAGTTATAGCATTTTCATTTTTGTATTCTACTAGAAGGGGGAAGAAGGGTTAGGATTAGATTTGGAGATCTTAGATTTCCTCTTATAATTACCTGTATGAATACCTGGTATTTGTGATTATCGGCAAAAACTCTGGAAGAGTTTGAATTTACAGATATACAGGTAGGTGTAGTTATTTTATATGGTGCAATTCTCAAAAGACTCCCACTTAAAATAAAAGTCAATATTGATAAGATATCTAGAAGTAAGCTTTGAAAAAGGATAATGTCATTTTTAAGTGTAAGGTAGTTGATTTTCCAGCCATTTGCTCATAGGTGATCATAATTTTAGCATACAAATTAACATTATTGCAGTGTGGTGTTCATGTCATTTTGAATGAAGTATCAAACACTGGTAAGATAAAAAGTAGTACCTGGAACATGAGGGGAAACAAAATCATTAGTTTGCCATAGGTATGTGAATAAATGGGGGCCATCTCTTTCTCCTGAAGAAACCCAGAATTTAAATGTTGGATGTTCAGAGGAATTAAATATACAGTTATGCACCATATAATGATGTTTTTGTCCATAACTAACCACCTGTACAACAGTGAGTGGTCCCATAAGATTATAATGGAGCTGAAAAATGTCAGTTGCCTAATGATAACATGTCTTTTGCCATGGGATAATGCACCACATTTATGTACACATTGGTATATATACGTACATGTATGTACGCATTTATGATGATGCTTGTGTAAGAATCCTACTGGACTGCTGGTCCTATAAAGTGTAGCAGTACAATCACATACAGCACAAAATATCTGACAACAATAGCAGCTAAGCTATTGGTTTTTGTATTTACTATTCTATACTTTTTATTGTTATTTTAGAGTAAGTATACTCTCTCTCCCTAAGTTTATTGTAAAACAGCCTTGTTACACTCTCAGCAGCAGCAGATATCTTATGTGTACGGCACCTTTTGATTGCTTCAAGAGATCACACAGAGTGAGTGACCTGGATATGTAGGGTGTGTAATTACTGTTATACTCTAGGACAGTGGTGGCAGATCTGTGGCATGCACGTTACTCTGTTTTTCTTTGAAGACAAAAAATGTTAATGTAAAGTTGTTTTTTCTAAATGAAAACCTCAGCATTCTGGTTTAATTGCAGCGTTGGCACTTTGAGATAAGTAAGTGGGTTTTGGGTTGCAGTTTGGCGTTTGTCTCTGAAAAATTCACCATCCCTGCCCTCGGATGTTTGAACAAAGAGAAAATAACCTAATGATGCGTTTCTCACAGTGCGTTCCTGTTGCTAGGAAACTCCTATCTGTGTAAAACTGCGTGTATATCCTGATATGCCAAAATTTATAACATATTTCTGTTATCTTTATTAAGGATATTTAAAATGCTAAAGTATGAGGAAACACACATTCACCTGAAGTATGAAGCAACCCTTCAGGAAAACCTTTCAGAACTTCATCTTCATCATAACTCCCAGGAAGTGTCAAGTCATTTGTCATGTATAATTAATATTTCCATTTCTTTCCTCCTTATGCATAGACATTGCAAAATAAGTCATGGAGTTTTGTAACAAATAATACTGTTTTCAACACTTTGTTTCCATGTCTTGACAGATGTGGGATTTAGTTAGTCAAGTCTGAAAATTTATACATTCTGCTTAGTTGTGTCCTCAGATGTGAGTGTATTTTAGAATAAAAACCTTCATTTTAAAATATTAAAAAAGACACACTTAGATCACAAAGTAACTATCACTTCACACTTTCATTTCAATATGATAAAATGATTTATCAGAAGTATTATGGTAATTGAGTAAAGTGCAATAGTTTTATGAAATTCAGAAAAGTTGAAAGGTCACAGGGCCTTTCAAGCATTTTGTTATTCCATCTAAATTTGTGTGGAGACTGGTCAATGGTCTCCTTCTTCTGGAAAGGTTTTAAATTAGAAGTGCATTTTAGCTTTAGCATGTTAGGCTGATGCTTAGAATACAGTTATTTCAAGTCAATTTTGGATGGTCTTCTTTAGGGGAAGAAACATTTATACAGACAATCCACAAGTAGTTGGCCTAGCATATTCATATGCATTTCAAAGTTTATGGAATTGCCATTGAGTCTATTGAAATGTGTAGAAATTCAAAACTTTTTACATAGTAATCCAATCATCTAACTGAAAACAGCTCAGCTCAGTTTTAGACTTCCTGATTCATGTTGAAATTTGATAGTGCCATTTCTTAGAGAAATAAAAATCACTCATATAAGGTAAACTCTACCTATTACTCCTTTCACCAAATAGGAGTGGGTGATAAAATATTTTATTTTAAAATGATAAGCAAAAGAACACAAACACAAATGTAGCAGAAGAATAGTTGGCAAATAGTTCCATTAATTTCTCTTTTTAGTCATGGCCCATAAAAGTCCAAAAGTAGAACAGGTTTTCCCATTGTTGACATTTTTTTTCTATCAATAATAGAAAGTTATATTGTTGTAAAAGATCTTAGTCTTTAGGGCAAATGAGCAATAAACAATTTTAGGCAACTGAAGCAGTTGTTTGAGTTACTTTATCAAAAATTCCAACCAATTATATATGCGCTACATAGTTGAAGCCAAGGCAGATTTGTTTGGTTTGGTTTTCTTGAAACAGGTTCTTGCTTTTTTGTAAAGGCTGGCTTTGAACAGACTATGTGTCCCAGGCTGACCCTGAACTCAACTCATGGCAATCTTCCTAACTTAGCCTCCTGAGTGTTGGGATTATGGGTGTGTGCCACCATGCTTGGCTAGATATTTTAAATAAGTACATACATACATATTTTGGTTTGCTAGTGTGATTAACATTTATCTATATCTGAAAAAGTCTACTCTTTTTTCTGACAAGCTATATATTCCGTTAATTTCAGAAGAAACTCTCTAGTTTTCAGAGAAAGATGTAAATTAAGTGAAAAAAATTCAGTGTTTTTTTTATCCTTAAAACATATCTGCAGGCGATCCCAGTGATAAGCATTACCCACTGTATTTTGTCTGAATGATGAAATTGGATTTTATAAGCTTCCTGAAAATGGTGACACATTGAGTTACCTACTCTAGTGGGTAGCTGAGCTCGTACGCGGGGAGTGAAATGGATTTGATGTAGTGACTCCGTTACCTTAAAACCCGACTAGAGATTTCCAGACCCACACCTGGAAAGTTCTTCAGGTTGGAGGTGAAGAGCTATCTCATGTGGAGGATGAAAGTTCTCTCCTATGCCTCTCTGTTTTATGCACCACAGGTAGTTGGTTTCTGCTGTTCTGTTTAAGTAGACACTTCCAATTGATTGGTTAGTCAAGGACACAGATAGAAATACAAGATTTCCACAAAATATGTAGACATCCGGGGACCATAAAAAACAGATAATACATAATTGCTCGAAGAAAATATTTACTTTTTTTGTTGGTCTTTTTGGGGTATGATTTTTTTTTTGGTCTTTTTGAGACAGGGTTTTGCTATGCAGTTCAGGCTGGCCTTGAGCTCACTTTGTAGCCCAGACTGGTCTTGAACTCACAACAATCCTCCTGCCTCAGCCTCCCAAGTGCTGGGATTACAGGTGTTTGCCACCATGCTGAAGAAGACATTTAAAAAACAAAACTCTTTGTCTCTGTGCCTGAACAGTCCTGTTCACCCTTATTGTCCTTGTCCTCCTTCCACATAGCCACCATGGATTTTCTCTGCGAGTGGGTTAATCCTAGCTGTGGATGGCTTGACATATTTGTAAGACCCAAGGTTTTTGGCAGGATGAAAAGAATGCATGTGGTCTGGTTTTCCTCTTCTGAATCTTTCTTTTCTGGATCAAGAGGTCCTGATTAGAAATGGCTCCCTATTAATTCCCAGCTATGAAAATTCAGCAGCTTCTGGACCATGGCATCCATTATAGCCCTCTGCCCTTCATCCACAAACCACCCAACAATGTAAATAAACTATTTTTCCCTTTTAAATGCAAACACCTTTAAATGTGCAAGTGCCAGTTTTCATATTTTCATAACTTCTATATGGATGTCATAGAAGATATACGCCTGGCATGTCTCTGTGACCCTAGTTTATTCCATGCAAGTCTGTTCTGTAGTCATGCCTTACAGATGAAAAAGAAAATAATGCTATTACTTGATCATCTGCTACATTTAGGAATCTCAGATATATGGATGAACTAATGTCCTAAGTAAAAGCTGCGTAAACTGGAGTCCTAAAAAAGTAGACCGCTGAGACCATCTTTGCGTAGCTTAGAACAAAGGGGCTGATTTTGCCACGGTAATACAATTGCAGTAGGTCAGCTCCTGCAGCTTTGATTGCTGTTCAGGACTCAAGAATTCAGATGTTATGAAAATTTGGGGCCTATCACTTGTGCATTTAAAAGACATATACTTTAAAAGGAAAACAAGTTCAGATCAAGGCTGAATATCTACTTGTGTACAGTTTAACATTCTCTTATTTAAATTGGGGTTTCTATAACCACTAGCATATAAGAAATTGAGAGGCATGGAAATTGGATAATTTAAACTTTTGTACTTTCCAAGAATAGAAACAATTTTTATTGAAACAGGATAGCTCAGTATTATATTATATCTTACATAATAAACCAATTTCAAATTAAGAAATTAGTATTGCCTAAGCCCAACTATTAGCAGCAGCTGCCAAAGGACTGATGCATTGCATTATTTTTGTTCTCCCTTGCTGAAGTTACTCTGTGGTGTTTCTATGTACAAAGTCTGGAGAGAAAAATAGTGGATAGCTGAACAAACTATCCTGAAAAGTTCAAGGACTACAAAATGTCACGTTGACCATCTGAAGAGAACAAATACAGGAAGCAAATTAGTCTGTTCAAGACCAATATGCTAGACTTTTTTCTGCTGGCATGAACCTCAGAATATCAGGCTCACTGGTATTTGGGCTGCAGGATTTATAGTCATGGTTCCCCCAGGTTCTCAGATTTTTGCCCTTAAACTGAAGGTTATTCCACCTGCCTTCCTGGTCCTAAAGCCTTCGTACTTGGACTGAGTCTTCTCCCAGCATCCCAGGGTCTCCAGCTTGCAGAGAACCTGCAGTGAGACTTCTTAGCTACCTTAGTCACATGGGCCAATTCCCCAAATGAATCCCTGTTATATATCTATCTGCATCTCCTATTAATTCTGTCCCTTTGAGAAACCATGACATATCTGGTAATTGATTAAAGTAAATTACTATACTATGTCAATAGAAGGTACAAAAACCTCATGATCATCAAACCACAGAAGAAGCATTTGAAAATCCCAATACCACTGCATAGTAAAAATATTCAACAGACTAGGAATAAAAAGAAACTTTCTCAACCTGATAATATGTATCTACAAAGACTCCCAGTTACCATCTTACCTAACCATAGAAGACTTGACCCTTGCTCACTGAGACCAGGATCAAGACAAAGATAAATACATTCACCAATTGTACTAACATTTTAGAGGAGTTTCTAGCCAAGTCAACTAGGCAAGAAAATGAAATAAGATATACATATGGGAAAGAAAGTAATGAAACTATACTTTCAGGTTACATACTTTTGAATATAAAAAATACCAAGGAATTCATTAAAACTACTAAAATTAATAAACAAGTTCAGAGAAACTGCAGGGCTCAAGATCAATGTACAAATCCAATTTTATTTTGTACACTTGCAGTGAAAAATCAGAAAATGAAGTTAAGAAAGCATTTTAATTTACATTGATATTAAAGACAATGAAACATTCAGAAATAAAATTCTTGTAAAAGAAGTCTAAAATTTGTATTCTGAAAAATATGAAGTATTTGTTCCAAAAATTAGAGGACCTAAATAAATCAAAAGGCATTTTCTGTTCAAAGATTGAGAGACTTAACATGATTATTATTACAGTACTCCCACGTTCATCTATGGATTCAGTGCAATGTCCATAAAAATCCTAGCTGATTTATTTTCAGAAATCAACCAGGTAAACCTAAAATTCATACGGGAATGTAAATCATTCAGAATATTCCTTCCTCCACCCCAAATCTTGTAACAGAATGAAATTGGAGGACTCACATTTGCCCACTTCAGAACTTACTACAGTGCTCCAGTGATCACAGCTGTGTGGTACGGGCATAGGCAAGACATACAGAAAAAGAAATTAAACTGCCCATTTCTGGTCGATTGATTTTTGAAAAGGATGACAAGTTGAATGGGGAAAATAGACTTGACAACAGATGGTTCTGGGAAAGCCGAATGTCTGTATGCAAAATAATGAAGTTGGACATACTACCTCAGGCTATCTCAAAAAATTAATTTAAACTGGGTCAGACGCTTAAACTCTGCTATCTTCCTACCCCAAACCTCTTCCTCTAATTATGATGAAGAAAGGAAATTCTCACACAGAGGTATTCCCGTGAAAAACTTGACCAGCACCTTCAAAATTGTCAGGCCATCAAAAGCAAGGTAACAGAGGGGCTGTCATTGCCAACAGGAGCTGAAAAAGACATAACTACATGTAATGTGTCCTACATGAGAACCCTGACCAGAAAAAGAAATCTGGGTAAACTATGAAACTTAGTTACTGTGGTGGTTCATTAATTATAATAAATATACCATAATGATACAAAATGTTAATGGAAACTATGTGGCATACATGTCTGTATGATTTGCTCAATTTTATGTAAATGTAAAACATTCTAAAATAATGCTAATGGAAAAAATCAATCAAAAACCTGAATGTGAAAGCTAAAAGTATGAAATATAGAAGAAAGCATAGACATAAATCTTCAGGGCTTTGGATTAGCCAGTGTTTTTAATTAAGGTATTGAAAGAATGAACTATAAGA